GCAGACAACTTTTCCCCTTCTAAAATGTAGCGCGGTTCCCAGCTCACAAAAATGTGCGCATCGGCGTAGGTTGTATATACATAGGTTGGAACCTCTCAGTAAATTTTAAATACTTTGCTTCCAAAACTGTGATAGAAACTCAACGTCTTCGGGCACAACGGAACGTTCCCGAACGTCACGGAGCGTTCAGGCTTGTTTGTTAAAAATCCAAATTTACTTTAGATACAGATGTCCCTTTTACATGAATTTAAAACGTATCTAATAATTTCAAAAGAAAAATACTATACTTACAAAAAACACCTCTTATTATCTTACAATGTCTTATCAAATTAAATACAAACAACAGTTTCGCATATTTACCTAATAATGACCTAAATTTAAATTAAAATAAAAGATGAACGAAGCATAGCGCAATTAGTCCTTCTGATAAACATACAGTAAACCCCTAAAGATCTTCTAAAAAAGCGACAAAGCCCCTCGGTGTGACCCTACGGGGTCATTGGATTTGACACATTTTCAATACACTTGTTACATGTGGCATATAGGTGAACTGTGCAAAGTTTGAACCAAATCGGTCCAAGCGTTTGACAGTTATCGTGTTCACGGACGGACGGACAGACGGACACTATCTATAAAGCTTGCATCCCTTTGCTCTGTCGCTTAATAATTACGCAGACTAAAATTATGCGTGGCATAGCAGTATTTTATTTAGGTCGCCTACGTCAAGCAGCATTTTACAAGTACTTCATATAAGAATTTTCGTTTCAGGTTGCTGTAAGCGTGGTTAGTACAAGAAAATGTCCCCCAAAAATATATTTTGAAAATGAGACACGAAAACAGACTTCAAGACGAGTTTTGTTGCGCACTGCTACTGACTAAAGGATCTGGAAAAAAAGAAACACTGAAGGAGAACTAGGACAAACAAGTTAAAAAGTAATCGTAAACGATTTACATAAAGCGCATTTCCACTTGCATTCATTTCCCATTTGTAAGATGCAACTTCTGTTAAAATCGTAAAAATCCGGCAACAAATATGAAAGATAGCGTTGCACATGGGCAATCCATTGTTGACGTGCTACTTCAATTTCAGTTTATGAGAAGAATTTCATTTCAATGCTTTTCTAAATAAGAAAGTTGGAACTGCGCATGCGCAAGCTTAAATTTTAAAACTAATTTACTATAACTAACTAATAAACTAAGATTTTCCTTTGTTCCAAGCGCCTAAGTATCAAATTTCACTTAAATAGTTCCATAGATAAAAAAGTTGGCACGGCGCATGCGCAATATAAAATTTTGAAACTGGCGTTTGATTTTCCTTTATCCCAAGTGCCTATGTATCAAATTTCGTTTAAATTCTTCCATAAATAAAAAAGTTGGCACTGCGCATGCGCAAAACAAAATTTTGAAATTGGCGTTTGATTTTCCTTTATCCCAAGTGCCTATGTATCAAATTTCGTTTAAATTCTTCCATAAATAAAAAAAGTTGGCACTGCGCAATGCGCATGCGCAAAACCAAATTTTGAAATTGGCGTTTGATTTTCCTTTATCCCAAGTGCCTATGTATCAAATTTCGTTTAAATTCTTCCATAAATAAAAAGTTGGCACTGCGCATGCGCAAAACCAAATTTTGAAATTGGCGTTTGATTTTCCTTTATCCCAAGTGCCTATGTATCAACTTTCGTTTAAATTCTTCCATAAATAAAAAAGTTGGCACTGCGCATGCGCAAAACCAAATTTTGAAATTGGCGTTTGATTTTCCTTTATTCGAAGTGCTTATGTATCACATTTCGTTTAAATTCTTCCATAAATAAAAAAGTTGGCACTGCGCATGCGCAAAACCAAATTTTGAAATTGGCGTTTGATTTTCTTTTATTCGAAGTGCTTATGTATCAAATTTCGTTTAAATTCTTCCATAAATAAAAAAGTTGGCACTGCGCATGCGCAAAACCAAATTTTGAAATTGGCGGTTGATTTTCCTTTATCCCAAGTGCCTATGTATCAAATTTCGTTTAAATTCTTCCATAAATAAAAAAGTTGGCACTGCGCATGCGCAAAACCAAATTTTGAAATGGGCGTTTGATTTTCCTTTATCCCAAGTGCCTATGTATCAAATTTCGTTTAAATTCTTCCATAAATAAAAAAGTTTGCACTGCGCATGCGCAAAACCAAATTTTGAAATTGGCGTTTGATTTTCCTTTATTCCAAGTGCCTATGTATCAAATTTCATTCAAATACTTTTATAAGTAAAAAAAGTTTGCAATTCGGTTTATAAATGGTCGAGATGCGAAAAGGGCACTGTGAATTTTGAATCGATTCGATCCAACTTTTGGCATTGCGTATTATATGGCTAAATCTATGCCCATATTGAATTTCATGCAATTCAGTTCATAACTAACGGAGATGTAAAAGCGATCGAACATTTCTTAACAAAGTTATCGTTCACACGGACAGATAGATGGACAGACAGACAAAGGAACAGACGGAGAGACCAACCGGCAGGCGACAGATAGCAATGCAAAATTATAAACGATCTCTAGGATCGTTAATAAACGGCAAAAGTGTAAAATTATGGAACATGTAAAAAACGGGTTTTTGTTTTTTTTACAATAACTTTTTTTGTAAGCGGTACAGAAAAAATTCCTTCCTTGGTACAAGACTCGACCCCATAACGAACCAAATAGCGAAAAAAGTAGAACAATAGCTCTTAAGATAAAAAACTAGTAGCGTCGCAAAGTTAGCGGACGGACGGACGGACGGACGGACGGACGGACAAAGTGGCCACAATAGCGCATTTTTTTTTTATTTTTGTGGAAATGCGCTAAAAAGAAATGTGGAGTGACATGTTTAAAAATCTGCCCCTAGCAATCGGTGCTTTTAGCTCATGGCGATTTGCAAAAGAGATAGACTGACCGACATGGCATTTTTCTAAACAAAATTGGAGTAACCATGACTTACTTAATTGCTTAAGTTAAAAGGGTGAACATGCAATTCAGAAAGTAATTTAGTAAACTTTTTAAGAGTGTTAGTCATAATTACATACAAATAATATATAGTTTATGTTTACACAAAAAGAAGGTTATGTTTTATGCAACGTAGACATGGAGAGGGAGCTCTGAATAACAGAAGATATAGCACACTAACATAATGTTACGAAATGTACAAAAAAAGTCCATTATTCTCGAATTGCCATCAAAATTGTATGCGTAGAAATCATCGAATGGAACATGTAATCCCCCCAGTTTCGGCCTGGGGTTCGTACTATCTCGTTCTCTCGCAACATTAATTTATGGAGCTCTTACATTTGTTCTCAGTAGATTGACAATATCGTTTTTAGTTTTTAGCGTGTTTCCCTCAAAGTGAAAAATCGCTATTGCTGCACTTTGTCGCCCGTCCGTATTTTTTGGTTTTGCGCATGCGCAGTGTCAAAAATTTGGATTAACGCATGTGCAATGCTAACTATCTTATTTATGAAAGCATTTAAATGAAATTGTATACATAGGCACTTGGAATACAAGCAAATCTAACAGCAGTTTTAAAAGCGCAATGGCAACTTTCTTATTTATGAAAGCAGTTAAATGAAGTATCATATTATGTAGGCATCTTGATTGAAACTAAAACTAATACCGGTTTCAAAATTACTGTTAACGCATGCTGTGTGTTTTATTGATGAAGGTATTCAATGAAATTTCTAATGTAGACAATGCACAATGTTATTTACGAAAGCATTAAAAAAAAGATGTAGACACTTCGAATAACAGTAAAACTAATGCCCATTTCAAAATTTTTTTGTGTTTGTATACGCTCCACTATTTTTCATTAAACTGTATAGACCTCGACGATAGGCGGGTTCATTTGAAAGAGAATGGGGTAAGGATCTCGAGCCTAAAGGTATTTTCCTGGTCCTAGCATTAATATTATTAGTAGGAAAATACGCTCTCGTCATTTATGTTTGCATAATGACTTTTTAAACTTGTTCTTTATTCGTATGCACAAAAAGTACGAGTATCTGTATCTGTTATAAAGGGACGAATACATGCGCTATACCTTTTCTGTGAATGCCTAAATATAGATAAATGCACGAGTAGGTATATCAACGTATATTCTTTTACATATATGAACATGGCCTTCTGTTTGATGTTCAAGCCAACATAAATTGTGGAATTACGAACACGCACGTACAAACTTTTAAATGACGCTTTATTTGTTTCAAATCGATTGAGTAGTTTCTTAGAATGAACAAGTCAAGGAGTCTGACGATGTGACGATCATGGCATCCCTTATCGATTCACATGCCTACAGGCTGATCCGATGGGCTGAATTTGGAACGCCTAAAAGGGTTTCGTAGCTACGTCACTAATAAGTACATTAGCAATATTTTTTTGTATCTTAAAGACAATATACAAAGGGAAGCTTCTATAGTGTTAGATTTTTTTAAATTATTTTAATTATGACTTGAAACTTCAGCAAAATTCATCAACATTAGTGTTTTTCAACACAAATTTACATGAAACCTAAACCAATTATCAAAATTGTAAGTCTATAGAAACCTAGAACAGTCCTTTGTTTATACATTGATGCCAAAAAATTCAATATATTCATAAATGGCTGAGTAATTAGACTTCTTTGTAAACTCAATTTATTGTAAAATGTATTGTTAACATACGGATACGGTTGACGTTGAGCTGTCGGATCAGCCTTAAATGACCTCGATAACCTTGAATTACAAAAACAATTCTATTTGTATTATGTAATATAGTTTATTTTGGCAATTGGTTAACCCAATGTAAAAAAAGTTTCATCAGTAGGGAGTTATGGAAACGATACGTCGAATAATGAATGATAATTTAATATTCCACAAACTATTGGTTTCGGTTTGACGTCATGTTTGGAAATGGAACCAGGTACTTAGCTTTAATTCAATTTTTCTTTTCTTGATTATCAATATCAGTTATTTATTAATGTCTTGACCTCTGACCTACGTGGCGATATAAATAGCCTTAATATAAACTGAAAGTAGGTAATAGCGTTACGTGTAGTTATTCAGCAAGATATTAACATGAAGATTCTACTGCTGTGTCTAATATTTGTGGTCATACCATCAGAGGAAATCCAGGAATTTCAGAATAGTAACTTACAGTTTTCTGCCGATGTATACAAGGTAGGTCACCAAGGGCCGTCTATAAAGCTTTTCTTAAACCTATACGCTGCAGAACTAAATAACTTTGTTCAATAGGTAATCTCTGGAAAAAACACAGGAAACTTTTTGATATGTCCCTTATCGGCACAAATTGTTCTGTCACTTGCAACCGTCGGAGCCAGAGAAAATTCTGCCAAGCAGTTAAGTAACTCTTTGCATTTCCCGAATGATCCAGTCAAGATTCAAAATATTTTCCGAAATCTGAACAACCATTTCGACGTTGCAGAGCCATACCAATTCAGCAGCGCAAATAAAATATACCTTAATGACAAATGCGAAATCAAAAGTGACTACAGGGATGTCGCCATTAACACGTTTAAAGCTGGAATAGAAAACATCAACTTTGCTGATACTGAAAGGGCCACCAAATTAATTAACCAATGGGTTGAGGAAAAAACTAGCAATAAAATCAAAGATTTGGTAGGAAAAGATACGTTAAGATCGGACACCTTTGCGATCTTAGTAAATACTTTATACTTTCATGGAAATTGGGTTCATGAGTTTGGTGCAAGTGGGGATTACAAACAAGACTTTTATGTCAGTGAAACCGAAACTGTACCGACCAACTTTATGACACAAAGAAATGATTTTAATTATTGCTACAATGAAATACTTCGTGCAGAATTTTTAGAATTACCGTTCGTTGGAGATGATGTCACTATGACTATTGTTTTGCCAAAGGATAGGCATGGATTAAAGGAACTAGAAACTCATATTTCTAGTGTTATTTCACCTCAAAGTTTGAAAAAACTAGACTCGGTGATTACTATACCAAAGTTCAAGATGGAATCTACAATTGATTTTAAGGAACTTCTAAAAGAGGTGAGTAGGTGATAACTCGTAGGTAATTTGCATTTAAACCCTATATGTATTCTGAAGTTGGGTGTAACGGAACCGTTTACTAAAAATGCAAATTTCATTGGAATCACCGAAGAACGTATTGATATTGACGATGTTGTCCAAAAGACATTTATAGAAATTAATGAAAGAGGAGCAACGGCAGCAGCTGCTACTAAAATGTGTAAGTATTTTCTTTACAATGAATCAATTGAAAAAAATTTCTCTGTGAAAACCTTGATGTTTTTGTAGCATTTATACCTGTCAGCATGCCCCGTGTGTTCTTGACTGCAAACCATCCTTTCATATACTTTTTGAGGCATCGCAGCACTGGAGTTTTCTTTATTGGAAGATTTTCAAGACCTTAGTGAACGATTTTTGTATTTTCGTTAGCGAGCATTAGGAAAATAAATTTGTCAAATTCTCACTTATTTTTAATATTATTTACGGCCATGATTACTATATCGTGTGATAACTGATAACGCACTTGAAAGTTTTATAGGTATAAAAGATCTGGAAGTCCTCTCCCCCCGCCCCCCGCTATACCTATCTTCCCTGTCAGCCAGCCCCGACTACCACCGTATCAGTCGAAAATATCAACGCAGCAGCAAAACATTTTCGAGAAAGCGAAGAGGAAAGGGCAAAGGGGTGAAAGTTGGCCAGACGATAATATATGTCTCGACTTTCCAAAACATAACGAAAGCTCTTAAACACAGCCTAAAAACACACACCCCACACGTAAAGATACAAGATAAAAGTTGGCGCCGACGAAGCAAAATCTTACCAAAATCATTACAATTTGGAACCAGTAAATTTTCTTATCTCTGGAAAATCATTATACTGCATCTGGTGAATTTGAGAGTGTTTTTAAGCAAACATGGATATAGCAGCAAGTCTTTTTACAAAGAGGTTCAATCTTTTCAAGCAATCGAAATGTGTTTTCTAAAAACTCGCCGCATAAAGGGCCTGCTTGTTTGCGGATAAAATCTTCGTCCCTGTAACTTACAAAATATCAGCGCCACCCACCCTCCTTTAAAAACTCTCCATGCGTACAACTGGGAAGATACGAGGACAGTAACAACCAAGTTAAACAATAGAATCAGGCTGGCGCTGATTTGCCTCAAACCCGCCGCAAACCCGTCAGCTAGCTCAGGGTTGTACTTGAGATCTTCCACAGCGGTATGTAATATTTGGTAGTTTTTTACAACTTACCATTAGATGAGCGCCACTCAGTTTATTAAACGTCCAATTAACCCCGCCCCCATCATAACCATTTTCAACAAGTAAAATGATATTCTGGGCAAAAGAAAGGTATCTCCTCGCTGGTTACATGCCTCGGGTTAATTTCTATTGCCCGAATTCTTATCTAAGGCCCAAGCGTCCATATTACGTATGTTTGTTCTATAGATTCAGAATGGATGTTACATAGAGGTTCCTTTGATCTTCGGGAAGCTTCTTAACAGGCCATGAATAGTATATTTCTTCTATATAGACCTAAATAAATTATTTTTTCTCCAACCACCTGAATAAGACGCTATTTTGTGCCAGTGTTCGGTACGTAAAATTGACGTTTTGCGGATTAATCGCTTTCACCATGGCAACTGTACAAAAAGTGGATACTTTTGGTCCTAGTACCAAAAAGAAATTGACCTTGAAAGTCGGCCAATTAAAAAATTACAATCACGGAGATATGTCACATTGACATCGTTTTACATTGCAGGTTGTAAGATATTTTTATACATACAAATCAAATATTTTTGCATATTCAATACAAATAATGATTTCTATGCGTATGTACATGTATTGAAAATGATTTACGCTCGCTATTTTTATTTAAACCATGTGTAACGTAATTTACATATTCGGTGAACGTAATTTTAATACGTATACAACCCGCCGTCGCGCGTAACGCCATCTACTTCAGACCCATTGCACTATTATCTGTCATTTTGAATTCAAAATTTGAAAAAGTTAATTGCAATTAATTTTAATTAAAAAACTGTATGGTAAGTTGTTTATTTCAATACAAAATATAACAATATTAATTTGTGTATACAATAAAAATGACTGAAACTGATAGCGACATGGATTGGACTCCGCCAGTGATTATAGAAACGGCAGAACATCCTACCTCAAGATTTGCTCCCTACAAAGTCGCGAGAGGTGAGAAGTTAGAAATAAGAACGAATAGGTTATAACCTAAAAACTAGAGTGGCACGACACGTGAGGACAAGAAAGCAGAACTTGTTATACTAGTAGTGAAACTGTGACTGAATCTAAATTCGAATATAATTTGAAGTAAAGGGGGTTGGAGAAAAAATTTTATGTTTTATTCGTACAAAAAATGCGTTTTCGGGACTCGGAAGGTTGCTGCACTCCGCTAACGCGTCGTCCAGCAACTATCTTCCTCGTCCCGAAAACTGACATTTTTTGTACTAATGAAACAAATAACTATTTACTGTGTGAAGATATCTGTTTGCTAAGACCCTATATTTATTTATTTATGTATTATCCCTTTGTTTTGGGCCCTCAATGGGCTTGCGCCCAATTACAGTATCTCGGTATATAATAAAAATAATAAATATTTGTTTTCACAAAGTAGTTACATTTTGACGGCTAACAAAGTAATAACCGTGCTATTGATAGCAACATAAGTATGTAACAAGAACAATATTTTCAGTTATTTTACTTTAACGACTGAACGAACCACCTCCAAAATTTAAAGCAAAGCAAAGAAAATGTTCTTAACATATTTTTATTGTTTTAATTCACCACTGAGTACTATTGAGTCCTCTTCATTGTGTTCTGTTAAATGCTATAGGTAATAGTGTGAATTATTAACAATACGAATTAAATTTCTAACATACCTGGCATTCTTTCGCTCTGTAATTCCCACATCCGTGAAGTTGGCACCGCCCATTGTTCATATTAATATTATTTGTATGCACATCGTTTGTTTATCGTTTGTTTACGTTTGTTTAACTATTTTCATCGTTTGTTTATATTTCCGTATGTCTTTTTTAAAAATTCAAAATGGGCGAGCTAACTTCACGGTGGCTCGCCCAAAATCATAATTTTGTTTGTTTATCGATGCAGGTCGTTTGTTTATCGTTTGTTTACGTTTGTTTAACTATTTTCATCGTTTGTTGGCATTTCCGTACGTCTTTTTTAAAAATTCCAAATGGGCGAACTAACTTCACGGTGGCTGACCCAAAATCATAATGTTGTTAAGTTTGCAAGTCAATTGTTTATCGTCTGTGGGCGCGTAAACTTCACTGTCATTATATTATTTTTCATCACGATATGCATCTTTTTAAAAAATGTTAAATGGAAAATTAACTTTATGGTGGTGCAGCTAAAATTCGCTTATGAACCACTCTACAATTGTAGCAGTAACATAATGCAATGATTAGGTAAACGTAAAAGGCTCTAATAAATTAATCACTGTTCTTCAAAAAATTCTCTAATTTTCATATTAAAATGTACGATGGTACTTAGAACTGCCTACCGTTTTAATACAATGCGATAAAAAATGAGTTGCTGTCGAGTCACCTTTGGAATTTTTGTTTAGGTACATGGGAAATTGTACCACAGATTTAAATAGTATATTTAAATCTGTGATTGTACTTCCAAAGGAGACTGAACAGCAACTAATTTTCGATCGCCCGTTATTAGTTGAGACAGAGCTGGATCGAGTGTTCTAAAAAACCGCTCGAGCGACGCGCGTTCTATAATTGTATGAAAAAAGCTGAGATCGACCCCGGAAAAATTGTTCTTATAGAGCGTGGCCTGTAGAATCCATAATTTCAAACAGTTCCAAGATTGGGCTACTAGTTCAAAAGTTACAGCCCTTTGAATTTTTTTTCAAAATTGGTTTCTAGTCTATAACTTTTGATTGAGAAGTCTGATCGAAAAAGTACGAATTGTTTTGGATTCTACGCAACAAAATTAATAAGAAAAAGTGTTTTCCCGAGAAATTTTGGTGCAGTCGATTTTTGGTAAAAAAGGAAGGTTATACACTGCCTTTTTTTGAGGCCCGAAAAAAAAGTAGAACCCATAATTTCAACGCGAGACCGCTTGCGAGTTCCGAACACTCCTAAAAGTGCTCGAGTGGTTTATCGCGAGCGCTTGGAAAAAGTGCTCGTGAGCGGGAAAAAAGCTCAAGAGCGGAAAAAGCACTCGGGAGCAGAAAAAAACTTTCGAGAGCGGAAAAAACGTTCGGGAGCGGAAAAAACGCTCGCGAGCGGCGCTGAAGGATTAAGGTATACTATACTATTTAAATCTGTGGTACAATTTCCCATGTAAACAAAAATTTCAAAGGTGACTCGACAGCAACTCATTTTTTATCGCATTGTATTAAAACGGTAGGCAGTTCTAAGTACCATAGTACATTTTAATACGAAAATTAGAGAATTTTTTGAAGAACAGTGATTAATTTATTAGAGCCTTTTACGTTTACCTAATCATTGCATTATGTTACTGCTACAATTGTAGAGTGGTTCATAAGCGAATTTTAGCTGCACCACCATAAAGTTAATTTTCCATTTAACATTTTTTAAAAAGATGCATATCGTGATGAAAAATAATATAATGACAGTAAAGTTTACGCGCCCACAGACGATAAACAATTGACTTGCAAACTTATAGTTATTAAGGTATTAAGGGCGTTATGAACTAAATAACGCCTCAGGTCAACAGTGTAGAACCCGAGGGCCTCCGGCCCGAGGGTTATACGTTGACCGTGGGCGTTGTGTTCATAACGCCCGTGGTGCCTTCAAAGTTTTATGTCATACTTGATGATTTTCCAAGAATTAGCGGTCCCAGATGATTAAAAGAGAAGATAATAGAATCATGAAAATTAAGTTATCCATGGTCGTAACTATGGAGATAGATATTAGGTATATTTGTCAAAGTCAAACATTCTAAAAACTATCTGAAAAATGGCAGACGAAGCGTCTCATTTACCGGCAGACGTTCTTGCGCGAGCCGCAAAAGCGAATGAAGCCATAGTGCCACAAAAATCGAAATCCTCTTATGAAAAAGAGTACGCTACTTTTGCAAAATGGGTGGTGAGTAATTCTGTTATAGGATTTACAGAAATAACGCCCTTGGGCGTTATTGAAATAACGCCCGTTGCTACGCATAGTTGGGGTTGTCATGGTGGAGTGCATTATTTGTCATTTAATGTATCTTGATGTAGGATTATTATAAATCGATAATAATCAAGTATGACATAAACAACATTATGATTTTGGGCCAGCCACCGGGAAGTTAGTTCGCCCATTTGGAATTTTTAAAAAAGACATACGGAAATGCAAACAAACGATGAAAATAGTTAAACAAACGTAAACAAACGATAAACAAACGACCTGCATCCATAAACAAACAAAATTATGATTTTGGGCCAGCCACCGGGAAGTTAGTTCGCCCATTTTGAATTTTTAAAAAAGACATACTGAAACGTAAACAAACGATGAAAATAGTTAAACAAACGTAAACAAACGATAAACAAACGACCTGCATCGATAAACAATTAAAATTATAATTATGGGCGAGCCACCGTGAAGTTAGCTCGCCCATTTTGAATTTTTAAAAAAGACATACGGAAATGTAAACAAACGATGAAAATAGTAAAACAAACGTAAACAAACGATAAACAAATGATGTGCATACCAATAATATTAATATGAACAATGGGCGGTGCCAACTTCACGGACGTGTAATTCCCGTCCAGTCGCTGCACTGTGCATCTCACAAACAAATAATAAATTGTAACTTTAGCTCAAGCACATTCAAATACGTACCACATTCAACCAATAAAATTCGTTATTACTTTCACTATGCAAACTAGAAAAACAAACTTCTATAACTCGGAATAACACTCTTCATTTTAGAAAAATGAACTGTATTTGCATTATACTTTTATTATCTTCATCGCCATAATTCACAACGCTACATACCTTACAATTCCATGCACGAGAGGAGATATAAGGTATATGATGAGGTGTATTTTTAATATACATGAAAGATACATACAATGTACGTGATACTCCTTATGTATTTTAGATTTAAGATGCATAGGTGCTTTATGCACCTAAAATCCATGTCACATTTAAAATGTCTATTTATAGAACTGGACGTAAGAAACCTATGTCCACAATAAATGTACAAAGTATATACAGAGTGAGCAACAAAGATTGAAGCGTGCCGCTTCAGCTAAATTGGCAATGTGCCGCTCATAGCATATGCTGATTTGATACAAGATACGAAATACGAATAGACGCACGTCACTGTGACAGCGCAGAACGTCATTTTCGTATACAACCCCATACAAAGAAGGTAGTTTTGATATTAATAGGAACAAGCGGTGATGACGCACGCTTCAATCATTGTTGCTCACATTGTACATAAGATGCACAGGATATTCCCTTTGAAAAACGATGTGTGCAACATGCGATCGATGCTCCATATACAGTGTATAGCATATACTTTTGCGTTGCGCCGTGTATGAGAATGAAAGACGTCAACAAAGCTTAGGAAGAAATAAGAAAGAAATACTAAAAGGTGAACAACATAGCATAAGAAAGCTCATTGCATTCGTTAAAAATATTGGAAAGCGATGCAGTCGAAGTCAAAACCCTGGCAAAAAACGAAAATAAAACTGTTACACCGTAGGAACTTTATACGTTCTGTCACATTACTGTCACAAAATTTTACTTTAGGTTAAAAAAACAAACCTTAAATACCTAAAGACAATTTCAGTTCTTCAAGTACAAAGTTAAAACACGACTACTTTTGGAACGTGGTGAGTGGTCATCCCTAGGGTCATCCACTTCTACTAGCACCGCTGCTGTAGTGCTGTTTCAACGAGATCGGTAAAAGTAAAAGGTATACAGAGACCCCTTACCAAAAATCCTACAAATGAAATCATTGCTCTTAATGCTTCTTTCTTGCTTTACAGTAATTTAATTACATGCAAATTTTAGGCAAATGTTCTCTTTTGATTCTTCCTGGTTTTAGATGGTTTGATGAGCGATATCCGGTATTTAATTGTCTTCTTTCTTCTTGTCGTTTTACTCCTGCTTGTTTTTTTGTGAGTTATTCCCAGTAGTATTGCGTCTTGATTCAAAATTGGATTGGTGGATTCTCTCTAAGATTAAATGACTTCATTCCATCAATTCTTTCTTTCTGACTCGAGATATGGATTTGATTTGATGTTTAAATGCTAATTCGTTTCGTATTCTCTATTACAAATCACGGAATTTCTAATTTTTTATGATAGAATGCCTACTTTACGACATTTGAAGGTTCGTAAAATGTGCTTCTTTCATAAGATTCTTATAGTTTATGATATGAGATTTTGTCGGTATAAACAATAAATAGGTGGTTTTGACGTGTGTCTCAAGACATTTGCTTCTCAAAGATAATTCTTACATACCCATCATAATGTATCATTCCAATTTTATCGTAAGGGGGTAGGTTGGGCCCGCGGGAGAACACAAGCGAGATTCGACGTACAACCACCTCCTAGTGGTGAGTCCTGGGTATGATGCAAAATTGTATTATAAAGCGTCTCTGACATGGATAATAGATTTAAAAAGAACTGCATCAAAGATTTTAGGAGTTTTGCGCAAAGTTATGGTCTAGTGCTCTGACTACTCGCAGGAATCCATGTCACTGGTATAAATAAATCAAATCGACCGGTTAGAAATTACTGACACATTCTATGGTTTCAATTGTAACTGTAAGTTTAACAGCTCTTGAATCACCAACAGTATTTATAGTCTAATTGCCACCGTACTGATTCTCATATTAAGCATTGGTATTGTTCATGTATCAAACTACCTGAGTATGTTGGAATCAACATAGGGCTTGCCAGAGAGGTTAACAAAAAACATCAACACAAATTTCTGTGAAGGATGCAAAATAAAATATATATATTGTCTATGATTGTATAAGATTTAGAGTTTTCTACTACACATTTCATTTGTTATTTCTCAGGAAATAAATATCTTCCTATAAAGAATATTCCTGAAACCTTGTGCTTAAAGTAGTACAAAAATGGATAGTTGGCCACAAAACTTGTGCCTTTTGATCTGGGAGAGAGGGCTAAAAAGTAAAAGAACAGGTAATTGTTGTGGAAATAGAGCTTGGTAAATAGCCTATATACCTCCGTAGGAAAATGCCTTGGCGTTTGTTGCTCCTTTTTCGTTAATCTCCACATATGTCTTCTGAATGACCTCGTTCAGGTGCAGGGGCGGCGAAGACGTGCTGATTCCACTGAAATCGGCAGTACATTGAAAAGGTGTGTGCACGTTCATCTAAATCATACATCTATCAGAATAATAGTGTAGGTATACTCACTGATACTTACAGCCAGCAAAGTGGATTTCATATTAAGTTTGTATCCTATACGGAACTTTGGAATCATAACATCAACTATGTCTTCCTCATAGTTCTTCGGGACGAGGACATCGGCAATGCGCGCTTCAAGGTTGTGAAGGCCAAATTTTGTTCTGGGCAATACAATCGTCATGGACACGCTGTGGCCCTTAAATGGAATTTCCAAAAATTGCGCACCTAATTCATCGTCGGCATAATAGTTAAATGTGTCCTTTGCGATCATCATATCTACAAGAGCAGTTTCCTCGCAGTTTTTATAAAACGACATCCTCTGTGTTTTTTTGGGATCAAACTGTCGCAACCAATATCCTTGAAAGTACAGTGCATTTAGAAGTAAAGCTGTCGTTTTTTCGTCAATGTCAGTAGCTGTGAGTATATTGTTGACCTTGTGGTCAGTATTTTGCCGAACCCAGGTGTTTATATTACGTACAGTAGTTTTAACTTTCTCAAAATTTATAGGTTGGACTAGAGAGCCAAAGGGGTTTTTAGCCCATTCCAGATACTCTTTGCTGATGCGATACTTTTTCGAAATAAAGAAGGTATTCACAAGGTCAAATTTATAACCCGATTTAGATTTAAATCTCGAAGAGACCGATGAATATAAGTGTTTCAGGTCTTGGTTTGTGAATTTCTGCAGTTGCGGAGATAGTTCTTCGGCCGTGTTACCTTTGGCACCAAAATGCGCCAGTCCTAGGGAAAGTTGTGCTGCAATTGGGCTAATCAAAAAATTAACATTTGGATTTTGATACATAACTGCCTGAAAATAATTTCAATACATTTAAAAGGTACAAAGTTTACTTTACCTTATAAAACTCAATCGTAAAGTTAAGATTTGCGTCATAGAAATTGATCTGGAGCTTAGATCCTTCGGCATTTTTTATTAGAAGGTATAGGCAGAAGATGAATAGGAGACGATACATAATTACTGGGCCTTAGAATAAGATACTTCGATGCCCAACACTAACTAAAAAACCAATGTCTTTCAGAATCTTATTAATTATCACGTTGCGCAGTTTTATGTGACATCGATAAAAGTGTAATTCGTTTGGAAATAGAGGAGTTGCAATAAGTTATTATTTACGCCAAGATTTAATGCGAGAACGGCTAATCTGTCATGCTCTAAAATCAAATTAGCATTAAATATGTACCTACCGTTTTAAATGAAACTATGAGCGTTAGAAAGTTTGAGGGACGGTGTATGCCATACTGTAATAATTCTTTGTATCAATTAATATTTGGTTATCAGAAGTAATCAAATTTTTGGTATTAGGTAAGAAGAGTCTGCCGCTGTCTGGTGGGTGGTTTCTTCGGGTGGCAACTCTTTCAAGGGTTTTGTTGTAGTGGAGATTGACATGGTACTTTTCGAAGTAGATCCTTGATTCCCACGGGTTTTGGGTTGAAACTTCGGAGTACGGTCCTCGTTGGCTTCCACCATCCATGTCAACCACGAACCGCTTTTGGGATAATTACCCTTTCATCAATATACCACCTACTACTCTTCCGTTCCTTCTAAAATGAAAAAATAGCTCCTAGAATAGCTCTCTATTGCGCGTGAAAAGGTACACCTTTAATCAGTCAGCGGAATTACCATCTTTATCCGCAGTTATATTTGTTCTAATCTTTTGAATGGTTGGGAATAATCACGCAAATTATGTTGTGTCTTGATCTCAAAACCCAAAATTCCAAAAAGCCCAACATCGACTTACTCTTATGTTATTTCAGACCGCAACTGGGTGAAAATATAAAACGAACGAATCGCTCGAGCGGTCCCCTCACCTCGACAGAACGCTTATCTTCGAGTCTTTTTTTACAAAAAACATCGCTGGAGGGCAAACGGTAATTGTTACAAAAAGAGCACCACGGCTGGGATAGCGGTAATGTACGCGTTCATTAGATGATGAATGATGAATGTTTATCATTTTCTGATCTGAAAACGAAGATATTCAGCCTATAGGATCGTTACTTATGGAATCCCTAGCATTTAGGGGTGCGTAAGTTCTTTTTCGGTAAAGTGGCATGATTAAAAATTTGTAGTAAAAAGGGGAGATATGAAAAAAATTACGATTGTTCACGATTAGCGCGGACTATACGGATCGTGCCGTACGAGCGAGGTGCCGCACGAAACGGAGCACGTGTGAATTTTTGGATCACAATACGCTTTTCAGGGGTTAAACAATTTTCCCGGGGTAGAAATGAAAGGTTATGTTTGTGGAGGTACATAACGAGACGTATCTGGGAAAGTGGGGGGGGGGGGATGTATAGAGTAGCGGGAAGGGGGTTCAATATTTTTTTTTAAGATTCCAGGGTGGGGTCAAAATTATTTAAAGGTGTGCGCGGTCTGGTCTCATCAATCTCACATCGGAAAATGGTGGTTGGGCCCCTACGCCAAGGTCGATAGAATTTCAACCTTCGGGTCGCCTAAAAATGAAAATGAAGGAATCGGCATCATACAGTGACTTAATGCACAGGAACTAGATTTTGTAGTCTTCCTGTCATACTCCATTTTTGTTTAAGTTGATAGAGCAATCTTTATTTATTCACCAATTTCATCGAGGAAACTGCAAAACATAACTTTGATACACATCAGGAACTAAATGTTGTGCTCCTTCTGCCATATTGGTTGAGTTGGTAAAGCAAAGTCTTGTCGCGGAAGCTGAAAAATGCATGGCCTTGATGCAAAATGGCACAAGAGGTCATACTCCAAACCATTACCACGAGTGTTCTATTGCTGTCCTTTCCGATTATGAAAACTGTATCGTTTAGACAGTCATTTAATTTTGTCACGTGGTCGTACATCATTTTTTGTAATAGCGACTGGACATCATGAAGTTTTCTCGTAGGCCTCCATCGGAGACCTTGTGTGAAAACAATTCAGCTAGGCTTTGGAAGATTCTCATCTATATTTTACTAATTTTATTGCTTCGAATATACTGGCACTTCGTTATTGAGACATTCGCACTTGAAATGATCCCACCAACAGATAAATAAGCTGGTTGAAACGTTCCAGTCTCCCTTTGCAGACACCCTCTTCCGACACTCAAGCAGTATAAGCAATCTAGATAGAGAATAAGAGGATGCGATGGGAGTTGACAGAACATGAATCTTTTCGTGGAGACCTTTCATAATGGTATCATGACGAATAGAAACACTTTTATTTAGTCCTAATCAATAGTGGCAGTCGTTTTCTTAAAAAGTAGTTATATTTAGTACAAGTACACAATGTGGTACCTACTTTAAAAGGTACGGGCAAGAACATTGGTTCCAATCATGACACATCTAACACGTTTAGCTGCGTAACTGAACATGAAGATTTATTTAATTATTTAGTCTCTCTCTCTCTCTCTCTTTCTCTCTTTAACCGTTGCGTCTTGTAGAAAAGAAATTGAAAGATTGACTAAAACCGGTTTCGTAGTTTGTCTTTCTATTTATGGTAATGTTAAACATTGCAAGAAACTATAGTTATAGTCCCAAAATATTGGATGTCAAATTGACCTTTCTGCAACATAGAATTGACTATTGGCTTTGGAAGGGACGTGGAATTTTTTCCTGAACACACAAAATCACTTGTGATCATTGAAGTCAAACATACGACAAACACGAAAAAACTACAACAAACTAATGAAAGCGAATTCCTAGTGATAACCTTCCAGCCGGAACGCGATATACATTTTTTTAAAATTTGGCGTTAGCTGGGTACTGTCTTAGTGTCTTAGTAGTGCTTCTGATTGTATGTCCTCGGGAATGGAGATGTAGTCTAATAGCCATTCCTTAAAGAATTTCAGTAATACATATTTGGTAAGTACTTCAAGATATTTATGCTATATTTTTTACTGTTTTTATTGTTTACTATTCCTTTGGGCTAGTATATCTGCCTATAAAGAATATTCCAACTTTCTTGTGCCATAAGTAATACAAAAATGGCTTATTCGCCAAGAAAATGTTTCGTGGTGGTACATTTCTACCTTCAATAACTGCAAACGTAACAGTTTAAAAACAAAATTCTATAGCTACACATTTCAAGGACCTACCTACCGCAGTAGAAGCTGCTGCCGTAGCTCCTTTTTCGTTGATTTCCAAAAACGTTTTCTGAATGATGTTCCCCACTACTGGAGATGGTGTAGTGTCACTCATTCTACTAAAGTCTGCTCCTATTGAAAATGGCGTCCGCACGCCCATCTGAAATGTACATACCTAAGCGGGTAGGTATTTCCGGAAAATATTCATGTTACTTACATTTTTTAAAATCGCGACGAGGTCAATGTTGCATTCTACTTTAAATATAGGAATTGTAACGCTAACTGCATGGTAGTTTAAAGACCTTCGATGGGGAAGATAATCTGAAATATTTTCTTCGATCTTATCAAGACCAAATCTGGTGGTAGGTAATATAAACGTCATAATTACATCTTGGTCGTAAAATGGCAGTTCGAGAAACTGAGCTTTCAACACCGCGTCTTTACGATATTTAAATTTATTTTCTGATCTCATCATGTTAATTAAAATGCTTTTGTTGTTATTCACGTGAAATCTTATCCTATCTGTGAATGTAGGATCGAACGGGTATAACCAATCGCCATTAAAATATAACCCATTTACGGCTATAATCTCCGTTCCTTTGTGAATGTCTGGACTACTTACAATTTCTTTGATATTGTGCTTGGTTTGGTTTGCAACCCAATCATTAATATAATTGATTACTTTTTTCGTTTCATTGAAATTTACAACTTCAGTTGTAGCTCGAAAAACCTTTTTGGAAAAATTCTTGAACTGCTTCTTAACGTGATATTTATCAGAGATGTATAAGTTGGTAGCCATTTTAAATTCACATTTCTGTTTGGATTTGATACTGGAAAGCACTTTTGAGAACAACTGCTTTGTTTTCGGGTTATGTATATGTAAAGCAAGTTCATCTGCTGTTGTACCATTCGCACCAGCGCGAATTAATGCAACTACTATTTGGGCAGATAAAGGGCAGAATAAAAAGTTACTGGTAAGGTTGAGCCTTCGTATAATCTAAAATTGATTAAGTTGCGTGTTCAAGTGTTTCCAAAAACTTACCTTGTAACCTTCGGCGGTGAATTTGCTATTTGCATCGTGAAAATCATCAATAAGTTTAGAGGCCCTAGCGCACCATATAATTAGAGCTAAACACAGTGTCGGTAAAATGTACATAATCGTGTAATGGACTATACGGGCTATCGGTTTCACAGTAATAAAGTGAAGTGCGTATCACATTATTGTGTATTCGTTAACACCTAATAAAAATTGTAATTGTTAAAATGGTATCGGCTATCGTAATGACTACAGATAACCAATGCGACTACAAGCGATTTGTGCGAAAAAAATAATTCCTTGTGATTTATCAGCAGGAGACTATCCTACAAGTACTTTCAATAAGGGTGATACTAATAAGTATTACGTCCTGTTCCGCAAAAGTCCCCATATACTTTTTCAATGGCACCACTTAATGTGCGAACCACGAACAAAGCTGTTTATGGTTTTAATTTCAATAGTAGAGTATTTGTAATACTCGTAAATCTTTGTCTCCAAGTAATTTACTGATTTCGTCGGGTTTTATGACTTTACTCGTTTAAATTGTATGGAAACATAAAAAATATTTGTGTTTTTTACCCAAATAGTGTGCTTTCAACGCCATGTACTTTGAAATTTCATTCAGTTTCAAGCACTACTGTTTGACGAAATTGGTCAATCAGGTGAAGGATATATTTCATATTTAGCCAGGTTATCAGTCTGACACATCCTAAGTACACATATGGTCAAGGAAAGCTGTTTATTTAAAAAAAAATATGTTGAAACAGATTAGTTAAATTGACGAAATATGTCTTTGTATGTTGTAATTTATAAAGTTAGCCATACTTATCGACAGCTCATTATTGGTAACTTCCTAGGTATTTTGTTTCAGTAGCACTTCACTTCATCAAAATTACATTTCCAGATCTGGCTAGTCAATTCGTGACCACGTTGAAATTGTCAACTTGAAAACCGAAATAACCAACATAATTATATTACTAAAAATAAGTTCGGTGTATATTTTTCTTATTCTTAGACAAAGATCCTGCAAGGGTACAAATCTGACTAAGTTTTAAAAGAAGCACGAGGAGTTCCGATCGGTTGTGAAATAAAATCTGTAAAGGAAATTATATTTAGAAAACCGGCTAAACCTTTTAGCTACTTCTGGCCGGCAAGTTGTAGCATGAGCAAAATTCCAGTGACCTAGCGACTTACTCCAAGCAAAAATTATGAGTCGAAATTACTTGATCTCCTTATGCTGAACAAAATTCACACTCGTTTTCTTCCCTGAAATCCCTGGCCATTACCGTCTGGATTCATAGCTCGAATGACGACACAATTTCATGCTTGGTTGGAGAATCTTTTATTGGGTATGCTAACTGTGTGAACAAAAAAACACATTGAAGCCTAATATAAAGAGCGGACATAGCAGAGACAGAAACCTTATATTGTGCGAAGGAATTTCCAAACCCTATCAATCAAATGAAGTTACAGAGCCACAATTTTAATTTATTTCTTTGTGTTGAATGTAATTCATATGTGTAAAATTTATGAAATACTAAATTGTAAAAATTATCCGCAATTATAAACAGATTTATTGAATACCACATACCCATTAAAATATTTTCAATTATCACGTTCGGTTAATCGTAAAGTTTATTGCTGCTTTATATCTATTTATTATAATTTATTATAATATAGTTGCATTATAACGATTATACTAACGGAACTAATCGTACCTAGTGAATACCTACAACAAACACGAGACTCACATTAGGGTGTTCATAAATATGATGTAAATACGCAAGGCGATAATTCTTTGGTTTATTTTATGACTTCATATAAACATAGATCCGCAAAAGGTTTGTTGCCGATCTACAAGCTGTTATAGTTCTATCGTAAACTTTACAATTTAAACCTTTAATTTATAAACATATCCAAACACAAGATACAATTTTCAATGCCAACTGTCAAAACTAATTAAACAATATATTATCCAAATAAAGCCAGGGCTTGCTCGACCATTTTAAAAATTATATCTACCTTCATTTTATACGGTAAAATTACCAGACACCGAAAAAGTTTCTAAACAAACCAGAAAATTAAATTATTGTTTCACAATCTACAAGAGTCGTCCCGAAAAAAATTTCAGAGTTAGAAACTGGAACATGGCCCCTGAAAAAAACACGCTGTAGATTCTCACTCAAAATCCAATATGTCGCGGAGAAGAAATAAGAAAGCAGTAGTCTGTAGCTTATACATCTAGCGTGTTATAGAAATTCTGATAACAAATTCAGATTCTCTGAAAAAAAGTGCCTATAAAGGTGCCAAACGCAGACCGTTTAAGCTAGGTAAAATGGAAACGACATCTTCAGATTTTCGATGAACGAATTGGAACCACCTTGTATATGAAAGAGTGATGTCTAGAATGTTGTATTTAAGATAAAAAAAGTTGGTGTTGATTACTGTTACATGCCACACCTGATTATCGAATTTATTCCATTTGACTGAATACACCTGTATGTAATATTCATAACGTTCTCTATATTAGCTCCATCCAACTTCAAGAGTGTAGCTAACGATCGGTATGAATTATTATGTCCTACTTTTGATAAGGTTATTATTTCCTTATTGTATATCTTATTATAAGTGTTTATTTTCTTCACATCTTTCCTTCGAATACATTCTAAACTGAATAGGGACAAAAATATCGATATATTTTAATTTTACTACCGATATTCCTATGCTTCGTTGGCAATTCCACATCCTAAATAGTCACACCAGGCCTAGAAATAGCTTCCATAGAAGCATATCATGTAATAGTTGTTTAACAAGTGTGTAGTTTGTTTTGAATCCCTCTGAACAACTTTTTGTCTCATCTTCATTTGTATTTTTTTCAGAATTGCATTTTTTAGAGTTAAAGGAACTACTATATATTATATTTCAACTTGAAATTACATTTGTCCATTAATTTAAAATTTTGACCTACCCACCTGTCGGCACAAGTTCCTACCTATATTTCATAAACTTTCACTAACTTTCAATATTTCACATTGCATTATGTAAATTTAAATCTTTTTATTTACATAATTAATAATAATTTGGATGGATACTAATGTTAGAAAATGGCGGTGTACCTACTCATCAAAAATATAAGTGGTGCGTTTTAATGAATTACAGCATAGAAGTCCAAACTTTGCTATTTTCAAGGCTTGGCATCCAGAAATGGTGGTTCTTATTTAATATATGCAATGATGGATGAACAGGATCTAAAAATTAAACATTATGTGAAGAAGAAATTTGAAGGTAGAGAGACCAGAAGAAGCGTTTTTTCAAATAAACCAGTGATCCAAAATGTATGGCTCGAAAAGCTCTAAAATTAGTGTTCTTACTTTCCCTTTTGTTGGTCACCATGATAAATAGAAGGACGAATCTTGCAACTTTCACTTCAATTTAAAATACCTACTAAAAAGCGAAAAAAACCGTAAAAGTTATAGACTCACACTATACAGGGCGTTCCTTAAAGACATGCTAATATTTAAGGGGGTGATTCTTGTACCCATTTTAATAAAAAAACTTCCTATGAACGTATGTCCTAAACGTTTTAATTTATGAGATACAGGGTGGTAAAGTTTAAAAAATAATCATATACGAAATACGCGGGGAACATTTCAACGTGTCCGTAATTCCATGCGTAGACGGCCGGAAAAGCATACCTATTAAGTGAAGGTGGCCACATCCAACAATTTTTATAATCAGTGTTAGTATTATCAATACATAATTAATAAATTTGAGCCGTTCAACCATGCGTCGGGCAAAGAAAAACTAGAAGATCAAATTTGCTAAAAAATGAAAGAGAATAAAAAAAAATAATTTTTATTTTAAGAGAAAGCAGTGGCGTTGTATTTTTGCTCCAAAAATATTCAATGCAAAAGCCGCACGGACGCCACAGGTAGAGAAAATAAAAACTTTTGCACATCAGAAAATGCATCTTGATGCATAGAAGACCAAATTTCATAAAGATGTCTATAATTATTATCTCTGTCATTATTCAACAAGTTAAAAAGTAATCGTAAACGATTTACATAAAGCGCATTTCCACTTGCATTCATTTACCATTTGTAAGATGCAACTTCTGTTAAAATCGTAAAAATCCGGCCACAAATATGAAAGATAGCGTTGCACATGGGCAATCCATTGTTGACGTGCTACTTCAATTTCAGTTTATAGAAGAATTTCATTT